GTTTTCAAAATATGGTACCTTTTCAATTATTATTGTTAAAATATTAATTTATATAGCGCGTAACGGCCAAAAAAACGGTTTTTTGCTAATAAAACGAAATCTGTAACTCGTATCAAAAAAAGTTAAATGTAAAAGTTGTAGATAATTGACAGATCTACAACTTTTACATTTAACTTTTTTTGATACGAGTTACAGATTTCGTTTTATTAGCAAAAAACCGTTTTTTTGGCCGTTACGCGCTATATAAATTAATATTTTAACAATAATAATTGAAAAGGTACCATATTTTGAAAACATGTTTTTGACGTAAAATTTGACGGAGAATGCGATAAAAATACTAAAAACTTGATTCGTTTTGGGGGCGTTTGTTAAAAATCGATTTAAACAATTAAATTGTTAATAACAATATAAATTTGTTAGTATTTTTTGTAAAAAAAATTTTTTTCTTACAGTTCAGTCCTTCAGCTACAAAAGTGCAATTGGTGAAAATTTTGCAGCTCTTAAAGATTCGGACCTATGGATTTATGAAAATGAGTCTCCAAGCCAAAAAACTTGCCATTCTCAAATGTTCGATCACTTGTATTATCGAAAATATGCAAATAAAAAAAAATTCCTCGGACACGTATCTCTTTTTTTTTACATAGAATCCGTAAAAAAAGTTTCAGTCAAATCGAAGAGGTGTCGATCAGACAGGTGTTCGATTTGTAAAAGAATTACCCCTATGCAATTGTGTGTGTGTGTGTGCGCGCGCATGTGTGTGTATGTGTTATTGATTAAACAATAATACCGTATAAAACATTTACCAAAAATTAAAATTATAAGATGTACAAGCTATAAACTAATTATCTGCTCATTATTGATAACAAAGAATATAATAGACTAAAGACGAACAAAATAATGTTGTTTTATATATAATATGCTTTCACTCATGCTTTCTCAAGTTGATAGTTCATGATCTGACTGTAATTTTAATTCTTATTCATAATGCTTTATATTAATTACATAAAGTTAGTCTAAATTTTGCTCCTATTTTGAACTTTAGTTTTAGGATACATATGTAGAATCCAAAAATTTATAATTAATAATAATAAGTAATGGGCAAAGTAAGAGTCAACACATTTCTTTGGAATTAACAAAAGAATATATTTCAATTAACAAAGGTAAAATTACATAACGTAAAAAATAGATGGATTGCCGAAGATTCATAAACCTGGTTGTCCTGTCTTCGATAGGGAGTCCGCTGTATCCATTGGCTACATATTTGCATAACATATTATTCAAATCCATTCCTAAAGCGAATAGTTACATTAAAAATAGTTTCGAATTAGTCGATAAATTAAAAAGGTACATATTACAGACGAATACAAATTAATTTCATTGGATGTTAAATCTTTGTTCACGAATGTTCCAATAGAGATAGCGCTCGACTGTGTTAATGAACAGTGGAATTTCATTTCCAGAGATTGCCCTCTTCCTAGGGAGGAGTTTTTGGGGGGCGATAAAGTTTATTCTCGATTCCACATTTTTTTCATTTAACAATATAATTTATAAGCAAAGCTTCGGCACTCCCATGGGCTCTTCTTTATCTCCTGTAATAGCGGACTTGGTGATGAGGAGATTTGAGACAGTGTCCTTGATGTCGTTGGACTTAGATGTAGTATTTTATTTCAGATACGTGGATGACATTTGTACTGCGGTTGTTTCCTCAAAGATTGATTTGTTATTAGAACAATTTAAGTTATTCCATCCGCGTTTGCAATTTACTTCAGAAGTAGGGGGAGATGAAATTAATTTTCTGGATGTTACTATATCTATTAATAAGAACAGTTTGGTTTTGATTGATACCGTAAGTCGACCTTTTCAGGGAGATTTTTGAATTTTAATTCTAACCATCCTATGGAACAAAAGAGAGGGACTATTCTTTCGCTGGTTGACAGAGCTTTTTTACTATCAGACCTTAAGTTTGATACACAGAACGTGACGTTTTATTATATATTTGACGTTTATTATCAACATTTTATTAGACAATGACTATACATTGATTTTCATTTTTGACACAGTCAATCAACGTATAAAAAATTTGATAAGAAATAGACACATAACACATAGAGGTTTGGCTGACAATGTCGGGACGAATGAATCTGTTTCTTGGCTTACGGTGCCATTTATCCCTTTCCATACGGAAAAGTTCAAACATTTCAACAAAAACGACACCAGAGTATCTTTCCGTAGTCTCAATAAATTGAACAAATACATCAAAGTACAGAAAGATATTTGTCCACATACATCAAAGAGCAATGTGGTCTACATTTCGTGTGGTGATTGTGATGCTTCATACGTGGGGCAGACGAGCAGAAAATTAAAAACCAGGATTGCACATCGCAATCACATTAGATACAACACTTCTGTCCGTTCTGTCATAACTGAGCATAGCTGGATCACGAATTCCAATGGGACGAAGTCGTAATTTTAGACGAAGAGCCTTGCTATCGGAGACATTTGGTTTCCGAAATGCTTAATATCAAGAAGCAGAAGAATGGTCTCAATTTACAAGCTGACGCCGATGGCTTCCACAAGGCTTATATTCCCATTATAAATAAAGTTTGACTATCTGATACTAACAGTCGGTCTCCTCTCTCAGTCTGTTTTGATCCGCATTACAGAACATACATAGTAATCGGCGCGTAATATCTGTCTTACACATCTGCGTTCTTTCTTTCTGTACATATTCCGAAAGTTTTTTATTCCTTTTTGGATACACTCGTTTGTATGTTTTTTTACATACATATGATTTCTGGTGAGTTTTTATGGGATTTTTTATTATAATATTTTTTATTAGATTTCCGATATGTTATTTCATTTACGCGTAGATCCTTTTGTGTAAAGGTTTTAAGTTTTTCTCTTTATCAACTAGACTTTGCCAAAAAATTTTTTTTAATACATTTGACGGTTTAATCGTACGGAAATAATGTTGAACTCTACATCAAGACCCGAATGTTACGAATATGCGATCATTTGCGATAATTGATTTTGTTCTGCGATTTTTTCGTTATGTTAATGTCTGAAGAGGGCTCAATCCAGTAGCCAAAACTTGTAACTTGTAATTATTTTCTTAATTTTGATTCTATTTTTTACGTTAGGTAATTTTACCTTTGTTAATTGAAATATATTGAAATATATTCTTTTGTTAATTCCAAAGAAATGTGTTGACTCTTACTTTGCCCGTTACTTATTATTATTCGTTTTGTATAGAAAGAGTCCTTTGATTTGTTACTTATTTATAATTAAGTATGTTATAGACTCTAGAGATTTATAATAGGTTCTAATCTCATGAATTGAATTGTTACATTAAGCATGTAAATGACAATTATTAAAAAATTTCCTATTTTTACGTTCAAAAGAAGTTTTCTTAGAAGGTGTAGATTAAATAATATTAAAAGAGATCTTATTTGATTGTTTAAGTATCAAAACAGGTTTAATTGGGATTGAAAAAGATTGAGAAAGTTTAGGATTATTACGACTTGGGCAGGATATGTGTACTTGAAATAATATAGAGTGTGTGATGATCGAGAATGGAAACCTTAATGGTAATTAACCGTAATGGTAATTCCAATGCATCTTGCTGTTATATTTATGTAATTAATATGGAGAATTATGAATAATAATTAAAATCAGATTATGAAACGTCAAGTTGAAAGAGCGTGACGCGGCAGGTGAAGGACAATTCATCATTCATTCTGACTATTTCAATTATGCAATTTGCGATTTTATATTTTATTTTTTGTAATTAATACGCGATTGTGTAAAGAAGATTTTTATAAATCGAAACTAATTTTACTGATTTTTTTATATATTGACTTTTTAAATATAACAATATCATTTCTTTGCTTGTCGTTGACCTGAATTTTATTCTTTGTTATAAAATATACTTTATCATTTACAATATTAACTGTCTAAGATTTTTTCTACAATTAATTAATCTGTAGAAAATGTAATTGAACTTTTTAGTTTGCGCATAATTTTCTCTGTAATAAAAAAAAATCTTTAAATACAATGAAAAAATCAAATATACACATGTGGTGTAGTAATAATGTTCGGTGAATGTTATGAAAAATAAACACTTAATTAATATTATATAAAAATGATAATACTTCTGATAACGTCTGTACAATTTGCGGAAACTTTGTGAAAAGTCATCTGTGAATATCGCTTTAAATCTTATTTTATACAGCTCTGTTGGAAATATTTGTAAATCGTATTCCTTTTATCGTCTTCATTAATTTAGGAAACAAAATAAGTTTGGAGCAAGATCGAGAAGGTGGGGAGAGAATGATTCAAAACGTCAATGCAACATTGATTCAAGAACGTACATATTTTGAATCAAAATCCTAGGCAGAACACAGTCATAATTAATTAAGTTATAATGAATCATATACCATTATAGAATCATATATCATGATGTCATTTAATATTTAAAAATGAACTTATAATAATAGGTCATAATATTCTTGAAGCTTTCATGGGTGCTTTCTATATAAAAGTTATGCGTTTCACAGGTTTCCTCCGTGTCCAGATCCATTCTTGAAATGCTAACGTTTCGTGAACCTTGCAATCCACTTTATCAGGGCGAAGAGCAGCCTGATACTGAGCTGTTTTTCCGGGCCGTTCTCTTTTTATACGCTACTTATTGAAGTAGTGGAGGAAGAAGAGAATTGTGGGTGAGGCGGGGAGAAAGGAGGGGGGAGAGGGGATTGGTCAGTCTTCAATAACCGGGAGAATGGTTTTCCATATTTTATTTATGTTGTAGCCATTATCTCTATTTAGATTGTTAGAATGTTTTTGTATCTCTATGGCTTCTCTATACTTTGTTGGAAAATATGAAGTAATGTTGGCTATTGTGGTCGTTTTATCAAACAGTATTTAATGCCCTGTTTCAATGTTGTGTTCTGAAAATGCTGACTGCGTGACATATTTTAGTCTAACATCACGTTGGTGTTCTTTTATCCATAGGTTGACCATTCTCCCGATTTCTCCAATGTATACTTGCCCGCAGGAATAAGGTATTTTGTATACTCCTGCGGAACTGAGTGGAGGTCTTTGATCTTTAGGATTTCTAAGATTTGTCCTATCTTTTTGGGTGGTTTAAAGATAGTTCGGACATTGTGTTTGTTTAATATCCTGCCAATCTGATCTGTTGTTCCTTTGACATATGGGAGAATGGATAGAATCCTTTCGTCTGGTTGTGTATCAGAGACCGTTGTCTTGTTTGCATGTTTATTGATTGTTTTAATTATGTCTTTTTTGTCGTGTCCGTTTTTCTGTAAAGCTAGTTTTAAGTGGTTGAGTTCTGTCTGTAGATGTTCTTTGTCAGATATGGTGAAAGCTCTATGTACAAGTGAGTTGATTGCAGACTGTTTTTGTGATGGGTGGTGATGCGACTCGGCATGTAGGTATCTATCTGTGTGTATTGGTTTTCTGTACATTTGATGGTCTAAGGTACCATCAGCTTTCTTAGAGACAAGAACGTCTAGGAAGGGGAGTTTTCCGTTTTCTTCTATATCTATAGTGAAGTGGATATTTGGATGTTGATTATATGAGGAAAATAAGGAATTTACGGAGTTCGGCTCTGTCGTGTCTCCATATCACAAATATGTCGTCTACATAATGGAACCAAATTTCTGGTTTCTTAGGTGTTTTTCTGAGGGCCTCTTTCTTAAAGTGCTCCATGAAGATGTTGGCGATTACAAGAGAAATAGGAGAGCCCATTGCCGCTCCCGAAGTTTGTTTATAAAATTGATTGTTATATGGTAGGAGAAGTAAGTGGTTGTTAAGCAGTGCTCTATTAGTAGGATGAGGTCAAAGGGGACTTTATGTGAAGCCTTTATTATGTTTAACGTGTCTTTTATTGGAACTTGTGCAAAAAGGGATTCTACGTTGAAATTTACAAGCAGGTCTGTGGGTAGTTAGATTTTTTGGATCTTTTTTATAAAGTCCGTTGAGTTGATTATGTGTGATTCGGATTTTACAGTGAGGGGTTGTAGTGTTTGTGCTAGAAAGCGGGGTAAGTTGTATGTCGGGGAGTGTATGGCGCTGACAATCGGTCTGAGGGGGATGTTTGGTTTGTGTACTTTTGGTAGTTCGTATAGTCTTGGTGGAAGAGGATTCGTAGGTTTTAATGTTGATTTGGTTTTACTGGAAATGTTATTTTTCTCTATTAGGATCTTGGTGTTTTGTGCGATTATATTAGTTAGACTGAAGCTTTTTGTATGCTTTGTCCGAAAGAAAGTTCTTTTTCTTATAGTCTGATGTGTTCATGACTACTGTCGTGTTGCCTTTATCGGCTGGAAGCACTATGATATCTATGTCCCTGTTAAGGTCTTGGAGGGTCAATCGCTCTTGTCTAGTGATGTTAGGTGGAGGGGGTTTGGTTTTGGAAAGGCTATTGGTTATCTGTCTGCGGATATTATCTGCTTGTTCTGATGGGAGTCGGTAGATGGTTGACTCTATTTGGCTGATAATCTCTTCCTTTGGAATTTTTCTAGGTGCCACTGCGAAGTTAGGGTCTTTGGCAAGCGCAGATATAGTGTCTTGAGACAAGTCTTTGTTGGATAGGTTCTTAACGTTAAGTAGAGAGAGTTGTGGATTTTTGTAAGGGACAAGATTTATGTATTTCTGTTTCTGTCTTTCAGAGGATTGTGTGTGTGTCTTCATGGCTTGTTCGTATGTAATACGATCTAGGGTTTGCCAGATATCATGCCGCAACGTGGCGGATAGGAACAGGTGGAATTTAAAGGTTTTATAGGAGATCTGGGCTATTTGTGAAGTGGATGCGTTCTTTGATGAGGATGAGGCTAGTTTTATGAAGGATGTTTTTGTGAGTTTCTTTGGATTGGTGGTCCTTGAGTTGCAGGAATTTTTTTGATAACTATATGTCAAAGGAACAACAGATCGGATTGGCAGGATATTAAACAAACAATATCCGAACTATCTTTAAACCACCCAAAAAGATAGGACAAATCTTAAGAAATCCTAAAGATCAAAGATCTCCACTTAGTTCCGCAGGAGTATACAAAATACCTTATTCCTGCGGGCAAGTATACATTGGAGAAATCGGGAGAATGGTCAACCTACGGATAAAAGAACATCAACGTGATGTCAGGCTAAAACATATCACGCAGTCAGCATTATCAGAACACAACATCGAAACAGGGCATCAAATATTGTTTGATAAAACGACCACAATAGCCAACATTACTTCATATTTTCCAACACAGTATAGAGGAGCCATAGAGATACAAAAACATTCTAATAATCTAAATAGAGATAATGGCTACAACATAAATAAAATATAGAAAACCATTCTCCCGGTTATTGAAGACTGACAATTCCCCCCCCCCCCTTCTCTCTCCCTCACTCATAATTCTCTTCTTCCCCCACCACTCTAACAAATAGCGTATAAAAAAGAGAATGGCCCGGAAGAACAGCTCAGTATATGCTCTTTGCCATAATGAAGTGGACTGCAAGGTTCACGAAACGTTGGCATTTCAAAAATAAATCTGGACACAGAGAAAACCCGTGAAACGCATAACTTTTAAACAGGTTATAATGATACCTTATTATGATACTTGAGATTGTGTAATAATAAGAACTTTTCACAGAGTTTCCGCAAGTCGTACAAACCTACAAACACATTGTCAGAATATATTGTCTCTAAGACCGAGGAATTACTTAGGGGGAGGGCATTAAAGGTCACCTGTACATTAATTAAGGCTCGATTGCACTAACATTACGTTAATTTTAAGCAAGGTTTAAAATTCTCTTTATTTGTTCCTTCCTTCTGGCTTTAAAATGAAACAGATATAGTTTTAAGTCTAACTTAAAGTCAAAATAATGTTGGTGCAACCGGGTCTAAGTAGTGTATATTTTCTCATAACATTCACCAAATTATTAACATTACGTATTTATGAAGCAAATCTCTTGAGCAGCTTTGCAAGTTGTGTTATAAGTAGAAGAAAGCCCCCTATTATGAGATAGGTGCTTATTATGAGATAGTGGTGTTTCTGCTAAATTAATAGACGCTGCCTATTGCTTCCACCATGAATTTATTGCTCTTGGATTGAAAACTATTTAGTAGAAAATTCATTATTAGATCATGCCTGTAGTTATTATAAAAAACAGATTTTAGAATTTGGATGTCTTCAAGTTTCATTGAGATGAGCTTTTACATTATTTATTATTTAACAAAATAAATATTTGGCAATAAATTCTTCATGTAGTGATAGAATAAGATCGAACTAATAGAAAAATATGGGATATGCTGAATTGCTTAATTACAGAAGTTAGATTTGATGGCCGTAAAAATAGAAATTGTAATATGAGATACCTCTAGGTATCTCATATTACGGAGGATATTTCTAATATGAAATAACCCATACTCCCATGCATAGTGAAAATCATTGCTAAAATATAAATGTTATTGTACAATAATAAAAAGGACAATCGGAATGAACGTCGAGTGCCTATTTCTGCGAAGCTTGATTTCAACTATCTCAAGATACAATAAGTTCTGGCTATAATGTATCGCATACTCATTCTTCGCGCACTCTGACTATGTTCGTTTATATTTAAGAGAAACATAAATAAAATATTTTAGTTACAATACTGACATATTTTGCGTTTTACTATCGATTTCTCAAGGCATCTCATATTAGGAGAACAATTTTTTGACTTTGCGATTTTTGCTCACTTTTTACATTTCTTTAACTTTCAAAATGATTTATTATTATTATAAATGTACTATTATTTTTTTTAATTTTGCCCATAGACTTCTAGCATTTATCCAAAATGACCTCGGTATTTCATAATAGGGATCAATAACAAAAAAAAACTGTAACAGGCTAGTGAGAATCAGCATCGATAAATGGCGCAATTATTTAGTGAACAATCAATAATTAGAAGTTGGATTGATGTCTTCTTTATTTTGAACGTTTTTCTTTGGAGTCCTCCTCAGCAAGAATGATATAAGAATAACTAGCTCACATGTCTATAAGTTTAAGTCACTCGCAAATTGACAAAGATGCAGTGTTGTTAATCTGACATTTTTTTAAAAAACAAATCTTATTAGAGCGATATATGTGTAAACAATTTAAATGACTTACCATCACGGAACATGAAGCAATGCACTGAAGCTTTGTTGAACATATTAAAACTTAAAAAGTAAAATTGTTAAAATCAAATATAAAAAGGTTAAGTAAAAAGGAGCATACAGCCACGCTAGAGATGTCAAAAAGTTATAATTCAATAATAACAATGTACATAGTAGACGTTTCGGTCACCATTTGACCATCCTCAGTACAAAATAAAAATAAATAATAACCTTAAACTATTTAAATTAAAATTCGCATCGATGTCCGCATTTAACAATTAATATTTTTTTATTACAATCAATTAACATAATTTCAGACCGAATTAACATTAGATGTAATTTTCTTCTTATTTCCATCGTGTGGAATCATTTTTTATTTGTAACAATTATCGGCCTGTCGCAAGTTCCAAAAACGACGACGAGCCGCCGCAGAGAGACACGCAAGTGGTAGTTTCTATTGTAAGGCAATATATTTTTTGAAAAACCGTTTCTCGTCAATTTTATTTTCGTATTCTAATTATTTATATCCGATGAATTTATAATAGCAAAGTATACACTTACACGTATCCCGCGCACGGAACTATCCTGCATGCCGGACACTTGACAATTTTGATCACTTGAGATTTTCCGTGACAGTAATGCCACGGCCTTATTGTTGGTCTATTTGTAAGAAATAAGGAAAGGAGAAGGAGGAATACGGAATTGGAGGAGAGGTGGAAGGATTTTTGAGTGGGGCTGAATTTATTGTTCAAGGAGAGGGAGGTACACGTCAGGAAACCGCTCGGTATCACTTTGTTTATTTAAAACGTTTCTTTGTGTTTTTATATGTATCATTTCGGAAATCAATCTTTTGTAATATGCCCTTTCTGAATCTAATATTCTTGTGTTATCCCAGTCCATTACATGTTCGTTGTCCATCCTATGATTTGAAATCACCGAAAGAGAATCGATAGGTTTTTTAATATCGTTGATATGTTCTTTCAATCTGGTTTTTAATTTTCGTTTGGTTTGACCTACATACGAATAGTTACAGTTTTTACAATCAATTTTGTACACGACGTTAGAAAGTTCTTCTTTCT